CTCTCTCTCTCTCTCTCTCTCTCTCTCTCTCTCTCTCTCTCTCTCTCTCTCTCTCTCTCACACACACACACACACACACACACACACAAACGACAATAAACAAAAAAAGAAAGAAAGAAAACGAAAAAGAAGATTGAGCTCGGGGGAAGACGGTAGTAACCCTGTTACATCACCATCATCCGTCGTGTGTAGCCCTGCGATCCGCATGCGATGCTCTGGAAGAGAGCATGGGGTGAGCCATGATGTCTCATCATCTTTTCCATCGTCATTTGTGTATCGATATCTATACATGTCTACCATTCTCTCTTTCTCCCCATTGATTACATGCATCCGACCATCATTGTCTTCCAATGGTAACTGATCGCATTCCACAACGTGAAGGGCTAAGAGGACAATTCATGACAACAGAACGCCAGCTGTACACGTGTTATCTCCTACGCCTCCTAACGAATTTTCCCCTCTCCACGGATGAAAGCGAGCTCAAAAAAATTCGGACCATTGAGGGTTTAGAGCAGGAAGAGGAGAAAGAAGGAAGAAAGAAGAAGAAGAAGACGAGATGGACACGCGTTGCTAACCTGCGCCTTCTGCAGTTGAACTCGGGGATCCATAGCTGCCATACACTTCCCTGTCACCCACTTTCCCTGGAAAAGATGTTGTGGAGACGCTCTCAAACCTGCGATGGCCACGTGTCTGTCACCGCGGTAAACCTGCGATGGCACGTGCATGTCACCACGGTAAAGGGCACTTCAGACGCAGTCGAAACGGGATGGACGTAAACTGTCGACCCACGCCCATTCCTATTTAGTATTCTGCGCTCCCGCTGCTCCAGCACATGACCTTCGCCTCGGCTGTTCCTTCAATTCAACCCCGCCCTCTTTGATCGCACCCGCCCCCCTTGTCGCCTTTCACATATGCCCTTACAACGTATCTATTCTCCGAAGCAACGGGCCCGCACTTTGGGCTTCCCCGTCGGGAAGCTCTGAAGCCCCGAAATCGTTCAGCACTCAGGGGCAAGGTCCCACTTGCGCAAATTAGGAGATTTCGGCCGTCGATCTTTGCTATCTACGGTCAATATCTCTTAATTCGTGCAAGTGGGACCTAGCCCCAGCATTTTTCACTTACCGCCAAGCATTTTCGCGTCGGTGCGAGCCCGGGGCAAGGTCCCACTTGCACGGATTAAGAGATTCTGGCCATTGATCTTTGCTATCTACGGTCAATATCGCTTACTTCGTGTAAATGGGACCTTGCCTCCGGAGGCAAGAGAGACCAGCCGGGCGTGAGGAAAGGCCCGAAATGGCCCGAACCATAGAAAAATGGCGGGACCGGGAGCCGAGATGGGGAGCAGCACAAAAAGGGCAGAGCAGCATTGTCACCTATACCAGCGCCAAATGGACCATTTCTCGATTAATGTTGTCCAGGCCCGATCCAGATAAAATGAAAATGCACAGACCATGGATGATGCCAGATCACTCAGAAGAGAGTCGTAGAGTTGGGCCGCAGGCCCACACACCGTGGGAATATCCAGGGTGGGTGGGGCCGCTTCGCCAGAATAGGCGATGTGAACGACATGTTCTCCGAATGTCTGACTGACTCGTCTAGACGTGACGTGCAGGTTTGCGTACGCAATGGGCACATCGGCTAGCAGAAGAAATCCAGAAAGCAGCCAGCACGAATTTACTCCACCTGTTGCGACTGGTCCTGCACCGGTTACATATACTCTCGCGGCGACTGGAGGCAGCGGAGGACGGGCCGCCGAGGGACTCCTTCCTACCGGGTGCGTCCCACTGGGCCTTCCTGTAGGAGTCGCAGATCCTGAGTACAAAGAAGTTCCCACCATAGATCTTGGAATTGAAGAGATACAAGTAGGATCAGAAATAGTCTAACCGTCGATGATGACGATCAACCGGAATGAGATAATCAGATAAATGAGAAAATGAAAAAAACGCCTCGAAGTTGTTGCGCGTCCTGGAATTGTGAAGATGAGGCCCTAGGCCGAAGAAGTTGACGCCAACCGCAGAACTCCCTCTAGGTGGGTTGTTGTCCAGGCCCGGTCCAGATAAAATGAAAATGCACAGACCATAGATGATGCCAGATCACTCAGAGAGAGTCATAGAGTTGGGCCGCAGGCCCACACACCTCCTAGACCGTCCCGAATCCCTCCATCATCCCACAAGTGACTTGTCATCTTGCAGGGAGTGGTGGAACGAGCGGATGAGTAAAGGAAGTTGGCGTCAGAAGCGAGCGACGTCGGAGATACCGGGAAGTTACCAATCAGGGTTGGAATGGAGCAGCCGATTGATTGAGGAGTTTGGTCCTAGGAAGCGATGGCGGAATGGAATGCGGAAGCTTCTTCTTGGGTTGAATGAGTGGCTTGAGATGAACGAAGTTGGAAGAAGCTTTATGACTTGCAATGACTTGGATGTTTTATCGTTCCTTAGTAGGCAATGGTTGGTGGAGATAGAAAGCAGGTGCCGAACGGCAGATAATGAGGGAGAACCGATGGTTTCACCATCCACAGTTGATGCTGTGATAAATTGCTTAAGTGGAAGCTTCCAACTCATGGGACGAGAAGAGGGTGAAAATCCCTGTCGAAGTAGCCAAGTGAAGATTTTTAAGAAATCATACCGAGAGTATGCGATAAGTCGAGGAGTGGTGGAAGAATCAGCGCGTCCTCTGGAATGGGAGAAATTACTGAATGTTATTAAATATATCCGGAATAAGGTGAAGATTATGAAGATGATGCGAGAGGCAGAGGCTTATCGAGATGCTGCGATGTTCTTATATCTATGGGAAAGTTGGCAGCGATGCCGTGAGGGTTTGCGCTTACAGTACAAAGAGATAGATATGGTCAAACAGGAAGTGCAACCAGGGTACACGAAAACTGACAGGCATGGGGGGCGGTTCCTTATTCGGTTGAGAGAGCCTAGTGCGGAAGGAGAAACGTTCCTAGGGATTCTTCCAAATGTGATTTTAGCATACGAGAGCATAGGTATAGATATTCGAAAAAGATACCTATTCCGAGCCGGAAGGGGAAACAATGCACTTGGTGGTGGGGCTTTCAACAAGCGGATAGAGAAGTGGTTCGGAGAGGCGGGAGTATTTGAAGGTGAAAGCGGTCATAGCTTTCGGATTAGGGGACTACGAGCGGGAATAGAGGAGGGTTGGAGTCTAGGAGAGATGATGCGACAGGGAACATAGAATAGTGTGGGTACTTTCATGCGGTACGATTACGGAATGCGGCATGGTTGGAAGCGCGGTATAAAGGAAAAAGGAATGAATGAAAGTGGTGATGTAGTTGATGAATTGGTGCAGTTGTTGATAGCCTAAAATTAAGTGGAGAAGAAAATGGCAGCAAGACCTAAGGTAGCTGGATTGGGGCAGGAATGATGGACTCTAGGGCTGGGTATACAGGAGTATTCCAACTTTGGAATGATGAATTTCATAGATATGTCGAGTGAGAGGATGCGCGGCAGCCAATTTGCTTTAGTGGATGATGAAAAAATAAGTAAGTATTTTGTCGGCGAAAGGATTGCGCGAGATACAGTTTGGTGGAGAAGAGAAGTGGGTGGGAAAAACCATCTGTAAGGTTGAGATGGCAGCGAGTTCCAGTCAAGAAAGAGTGCGTCAATTGCAAATGACCTTGAGGACCATGATCTGGAAATGAAGTTTTGGGAGGTATGATGATAGTCGGAGGCGAAGATATCAATGGTTGGTGCTCCTATAGCTGAAAAAATTTCGTGCCTGACGTGATCCAATCGGTATTATCCTCTGTTTTGGAGAGGCTGTCGGCGGCGTGATTAAAAAATTTGGGAATCCAGATTGGCGACAAAAGGGTATCGTGGCAGAGAAGTATTGAAGGGATTATTCGCAGTCAAGGGTTGAAGATTGGATCTGACGAGCGAAGATGATTGAGCAGGGCGATAGCAAATTGACTATCTAAGAGTAGTCTGATGGAGGTAGAGAGAAGGAAATGAGGATGATTAGTTTCAAGGAAGATGAACATTTTGAGGATGGCGTAGAGTTCTCTGTGGGTTGAGGAAGTTGGGATGATTTCTTGGGATAAACATTCATTTAAAGAAAGTAAGGAAGAAGAGGTTGGGGAAATGATTGCTCCAATTTGGGTTGCTGAAGCATCACTTTCTATTAAGCCGGTTGTTGTTCTGATAGTCCAGAGGCGACCGAGAAGGTGAGGGAGATGGTGAAGCCACCAATGAAGATCCGAAATAAGGTCGTCGGAAATATGAACAGGTGAATCCCAGTTGGAGGGTGAGATGGAGTCGTAAAGAGAGGAAGTAAACAGGGGAGCTGGAAGAAAAAATCTTGTAAGGGAGATGAGTTTTCCTGCGAGTTTAGCCAAAGTTCTGCTTGAGGGGGCAGAATCAGATATTGTGTTAATAAGTTTCAGTAATTTTTCCGATTTGTCTTCTGTAACTCTTATACGCTTATGATGTGAATCAATGTTGAAACCTAAAAACCTAATTTTATGAGTTGGGAGAAAAGTGCATTTGTGGAGACAGAGGAAAAAACCTAGGTTGTGCAAAAGTGCTACGTAGTTGAAGGTTTGCAAGATTAGGAGTGGGAGATTGGAATTAGCAAGGGCTGAGTCGTCTATATAAGAGTTGATTGAAACACAACGGAAGCGCATTTCAACCATTATCTCTTGTATGACAGTTGTAAAAATTCAACAAGTTGTGGAGATACCAAAGCAAAGTGTAGTGAATTGATAATGAATGTTATTCCATTTAAAAGTGAGATAAGGTCTATGGATTGGGTGAATAGGGATATGATAATAGTCGTTCTTTATATTAAAGCAAGAGAGGAAATCCTGATTTGGTGAACCGGAAAGAGAGGCAACCAGATCATTGATGGTTTCATAGTGGAATTATGGAAAAGATATGAAGAGGTTGACGAATCTGACATCTAAAATAAATTTGGTTTTAAATGAGCTTTCAGTGGCAAAAACTGGGTTGACTACAATCGGTGAAGGTGAAGGCTCGATAACTTTTGAGGAGAGAAGTTGAGATACAGTTGAGGTAATGAAGTCTGAGTGATGAGGTAAGAGAGTGTGATTGGGTATGGAGTTGGGAGGAGGTTCTACACATTGAAGCACTCGCTTGAGCTGAGCCGCTAGATAAACATTCTTTAACATTCTCGGAACTTCGATGATTTTCTTCACTGGAATATGCTTAGTTTCGACAAAATTAAGACGAATACCATGACAGATCAATTGAAGAACTGAATGAGAGTAACGTCTCGAAGAAGTAGATAGCAGCCTTGACCAATTCGAAAATGATAGAGAGGTTGAGGCGGCAAAAAAACTATCCAGGTTGCGAAGCCAAGAGGAAGGTTCCTGGAGGGCAAAGAAAGCAAGTTGGAGATAAGAAGTAGAAGGTGGGAAGTTTAGGTTTGAGAGTATGCATGGTACTGAAGGTATTGTAAAAGATGGTGTATCAGTCTGCCTTGCGATTGAAGTCTGAGGTTGATGCCTTGGCGTTATCTGATTGCTTGAAGTCTGAGTCGAGGTGAGGACGTTTTGAAATGTGATGGAAGTTATAACCCCTGTCCAAGGTATCTTCATACTGTTTCTTGGAGGATGATTTATTGTAATCTTCGGTCTTGATGTGGTCTTCCTTCTTGCGATAGCCTGAGGAATCTCCATCATGCTTGAAGGATCTGCGAGGAAGAAAAAATAATGATAAGCCCATGAACGCAAATGGCGTGGACCTATTAACGATCCAGGGAGAGAAAAATAATAATTGGGCGACGACCCTGAGAACTTACCTTAACGCGTTCCTTCTTGCGATGCTTTGGCAGTAGTTG